CATATCATAGATGTGAATCTAAACACAGCACGTTAAATATTAATTCGCTAAATATTTCATTAACAATAGAGAGTAAAAATTTTATCATTACTACAAAAATTGTTTTTCACTAAATACAATAAAACTTTATATGTTCAATATATTCGAATGAACTCAAAATTAAAATTATTACTATTACTGAAATGATGACCTTTAATATTAATTTTTTTTAAAAATATGTCAAAATGAAAGAAGAAGTATACATATCGGGTGACGCAAATTTACATTAATTCAAAATTAAATAACGTAAAATCTTATTTAATTGTTGAACCTTATTTACGCAAATTTAAAATTACATAAAGTGTTAAAAATTTCGTAATCATATTATCTTTTCACTGTGCTGAACTCTTGAATTATTCATTTCAAATATCAAGGTATCAAACAAAATAAATATACTTTTGAAAACATTATTAAGCAAACTGTAATTATATTGACAGTTTGCTTAATTTCAATTTTCTACTTCAATTAATGTATTGGATTCATTTTAATTTCTGAAAAGAAAGCTGATTACTTGAAGTAAACAAAAATATATTCGTGTAGTAAGTATTTTATTACGATTATTTATTTTAATGCTTTATTAGAATTAAGAAGGAAAAAAAAGAAACATTGAAAAGTAATCGTTGCATTTGTTGAATATTATCACTAGTTTCCTGAGTTTGTATATTTTTAATTTTCCCAAAATGTAAGAGGAAAGAAAAATACTTTTTAAAAACAGTTTCCCCCGAATTTTGAAACTTGAGTAAGAAAAACTTTTATTTCACAGATTGTAACGAAGTTCAACCTATTTGATGATAAGATGGGGTAGCTTTTTTTTAAATTGCTTCCAATAATTTTTTTTCTTTTTTTAAAATAATTATGTGTTTAAAATAGTTGGAAACCGATAAATTCTAGATTTCAAAAATATTTTACATGATTTTTTTATGATAAAATTATCTCTTGCGTGTTTTTGTTCAGTTTTTTTATAATTTGCATTGTTGCTTTTCTTAAAAGAAATTAATTGCTCATAATATAGCATATAATTAATAATTCATTTTAGAAAAAAATTCTGAAAAATAATTTTAAAGACCTTGAAAACCTAATGATTATCTTAAAATACAATCCTTAAAATAATTTTACTCTTTTTCGTTTCATAGTAAAATTGTACCCTTTTTGCTAGTTAGATTTAATTATAGTTTATTTTAATTAAATGAAACATGACTTGTTACACAATGTCTTTTGAAAATGTATTTACAAAAAAAAAAATTTTTCCTGCGAAATTCCGTGTTTAATTCTAAGCTATACAAGCCCTAATTATAAACTCATTAATTCAATTTCTTATCGTTGTGGATTTCTAATTATATTTTTTAGTAAAAATTTACAAGCAAAAACATGCTTCTAGATTATCTTGTTAATTAGAATAAAATACTCCATAAAAGGATTAAATTATTCTTTTCATTTAAATCCTTTGTATTGTAAGAAATATGTGATAATTTTTTTAAATGTTTTGAACGAACAGCACTTAAAAATTAATTTAAAAACATTTTATTTTCTGGAATCTAGGATTTATTTTTTTTTATCTCTGAACCTTATTAAAATTTAATATTTCTTTAAATTATAATTGCATAAAGAACTTCATTACAGATACTGGAAATTTGCAAAGATTAATTTGATAATGGTTATTATTTTAAAAAAAATATTATTGGATCATAAAATATTTTAAATGTTTAAATTTAAAATGTTCATATATTTAAAAGAATTACAATACATATACAAAGCCAGTTCGAGTTTTTATCTTGAATTTTATTTAATGTTTTGCTATGAAGTATTTTAAATGTAGTTTGATAAATTGCCAAACCGGTAGTTTTACCTCAATTTTCGCAATTTTTCAAAATATTTAATTCATAAAGCGTCATTAAACTGAAATATCTTGACTTTACTGTCTGTATATTTTTCCCCTAATAAAATATTTCAAAATTAAAAAATTAAAAGATATCAAACATTAACAGATATCTTAAATATGCAAATTTAAACTTTTGAATTACTTCAGGTTTAAGCTTATAGATGGCTTTTCTGTTGATTAATTAAATTAATGAGCAAAAAAATTTTTTTTTGAGTTACAGAGTAAACGAGTGTTTTGATCTGTTTAAACCATTGCATAAAATTTCCCATAGTAATAAAAAAAATTCCCTTCCGCTGCAAAATCTGTTTATAAGAAAATGTAATATATTTATAATTTTGCTCATTAAGAAAAAAACTTTTTCCCATCTCAGACATTCTAATGAGGAACAAAATTTTATTCTAAATATAGCATCATAAATTAGGTTACTATTTAAGTGCTCATTATGAATAAATTTATGTAAAATAAGCTCAGTTTTTCCTCGTTTCAAAACTTTAAAATAACTTTAATTAACTCAAGTAAAGACATTTTAAAACAATAATTTTAATAATTATAATTATATTTTTTTCACTCACTTAAACGTTAATATATATATTTTTTTCCTTTTAAGAAGCTAGAAAATAATATAAATTCGTATCATCATTAAAAAATAAACCGTTAAATATCGATATTTTTGGTGATATATCTCAATATCAAAAGGTCAGCTGCCCTAAAACTTTCTACGATTCAAGTAATTTAGCATTATTTATGGATTTTCTCATTAACTAAGTCATGTTCTCACTGCTTCATAAAGCTTATTTTTTGTATCAAACACGCTTTTTTCGAGTTATTTTTGTATTGAATGATTAAAGAAAGCATCTACTATGAAATTTCGTCAAATTAAATTTAAAATATTTTTCTCTTAAATTTCTTATGTTTTATTAGAGTTATTAAAAATGTAAATGTAAGCATGGTATCCATCGTCGTTGAACTAACAGAGTGAATTATTACAGAATATAATCGTAATAATCAGGTAAGTTGTAAGTTGCTGTGTCTCCCCACACAACACCTGTACACCTTTTCCTCACACTTTTTTGTGTTAATTGAACGAATTTAAAAAATACATATTTAACAAGGGTGCATAAAGTGTGAGGTAGATACCCTACACCTGGGAATATCATAGACATTCCTTGGGGTAACAAATATTTTTTCATATTTATTTAAATTCTTTTTCCTTTTGCTTTCGTTGAAAAAGGTTAATAAAAAGTATACATTTATAGAAAAAGTTCATAAAGTGTGTTAAGATACTATACACCTTGGGATACTATAGACGTTCCTTGGGATAACAAATGATTTCCCATAGTTGTTTAGATTCTTTTTATTTATTTACTTATTGCTTTCTTTGAATAAAGATAAAAATAAATACATTTATAGCAAGGGTTCTTAAAGTTTGTTAGGGTAAAATATACATTGGACATTTTTGGTGGTAACAAATATTTTCCCATATTTATTCATGATTTCTTTCAATAAAAAAAACTACATATATACAACTAAAGTAAGGACTTTTAAGGTGATTTAGGGCACCATAGAATGTTACTAGAGTTGCCTCTTCAGTCACGTTACGTTTCTTTAACACCAATCAGTTGGTAATTCAAAATCAAATAGTTTATAGGTAAAATTGATGGAATTTTAAATAAATGTATGATATGAATTCCATGTTTTAGTGAGAGAGTTATGAAGGGTTTCCTACCTTTCACTACTTCCTAACAGTGTAAAGCTAGGTCTTCAGCAGACACTGTTCGGAAGAGCAAATATAGTTCGAAAATAAATATTGAGAAAGAAATGAGAAATGTAAGTTTACTAGGTTAAAAAAGCTATGTTATGTGTTATGAACAGCTAGCTCATCCATCTTATTGAAGGAATTAGCAAAATCTTTGTCTGTGGATGGTAATTTCTCTTAATATTTTCTCTTATATTATTAACACTTATTATGTACTATCCAAATGATGATAAGGCATACTTATCGCTTCGTAAAAAACATGAATTAGCACGATCAGAAGTGCTGAAATGGACAGACAATAGTTTTCACTCCATAAATAAAATTCTTCCTCTATGTCTAAACATAAAATGACTGTGGAAAAGTTACGAGACAAACACGTTTAAAGTCGTTTAGCACGTAGGGAAAGAGAGGAAGATAATGCTCGAACAATATTATAAAAGAAGGAACATAAGAAACAGGTGTGAAGGGGTTGGAGAGAAACCCTAGGGTGCAAAATGTAAGAAATTAATATCCAAACATTGTGAAAGGTTGACATATAACAAAGATCATTAATCAGATTATTAGAATTTTTTAGAAATATGGAATGATTCCCAGAAATCAAGATCAAAAGATGAAGAAGTGTTGAATGTTTTTAGCAGAGGAAATCTCAAATCTGTGGTGGGTGTTGGTAGGTGGTTTCTTTTTATTATTTAGAATATAAGCACTGGAGTCAGTTTTAAATGTATTATTTATGTTTATATTCTTTTTACTAACCTGCATAGTTTCTGTTTCATAATCTTACATAAATGAAACATATATTATACTCACATGATTAAGATTAACAGCAGACAAATATTATGCAACAGGGATGTTGCGAGAGAATTTTAAATCTTGCCAGGGTGTGGGAATCTGAATCTCTGAATTATAGTCTCTTAATTTAAAATGATTCTGAATCTAATTCCCAATTAAAATGTCATAAAATAAGAGAGAGTCACGCTCTTACTATTGTAACAACTCGCAGTGACGGGGAAGAATTCCTTATTATTTTTAAGACTTCAAAATTCATTAAAAAATATATATAATGAATTCCAACACAAAATAGAGGTTAGATATATTCAATTTGTGACCCAAGCAATTTTTCCAAAAAAAAATCTATTACAATAGTCTGTGAATCTGTAACACAAGTCAAAATTATTTTTGTGAAAAGAATAATCTTGTCTAGAGTAATAGATTCTTAATAAGATCTTAACTAGCAACACACTTTTTAATAATATTTAATAATATGTTTTATTATTTAATAATATGTTTTATACAATGACTTTATATTAATGTATAATTAATCCTTACCTTATGTATAAAATATCTTGTTGGTGAATAGAGCGCATGTCCTCATCTGAAAAGGAAATTATTTTGTTATCAGGTAAAATTTTCTAATCAGACAAATTGCTACAAACAAACTATTATATTCATTTTTATTTGTAGATACGTGCTATTAAAAATAACTTGAAACTGTTAAAAATATCTGATAGGTAAAAATATCCTTTTTACACATTTTCAACAAAAAAAAGGAATATTTTAGAGCAAGATTTTAATCATTGCATCATAATATGCAAAATACACACGGTGTTAGGTGAAACATTCAGTTTCAATTGCATTATATTACTCTTAAAAAATATTTGTTAACTACAAAAAAATGTTTCGTTTATGTTATTGAGTAAAATTGCCTATGTTTCTGAATAAAAGTATCGTTTTAGCACATTGCCAAGAGAAGGAAAAAAAGGAACATTTTAAAGCAAAGTTATAATGGATAGAATATATTATGAAAAATACATATTGTTTTATGTGAATTGTTTTTATCAGTGTCTCAGAGAAATAGATATTACAAGCAGAAAACATCGAGATATTCAATACATATGGGAAAACATTGAACTCAAAATTTAGAAATGAATAACCAGTAAGATAACCCGAGTTTGTAGAATGATTATCACTTCTAAAGGAAGTTATATTGATCGACTGTAGCTATAAGACAAAACTTTATTGTGTTCTTTAAAATATGTGATGAAGTAAGTTTCTTGTATCTCCCAAAATGAAAAAGTTAGATTTCGATAAAATTCTCTAAAGTAATTTCTTTTGCTAACGTAATTATTAAAAATCTTAGCTTCTGATTCCGGCAGAAATGTTGCATCTACGATAATTACAACCCGAGTAATAGGTGTTAGAAAAAAAAACATTAATTATGCAAGACACATACAAGATTTTACTTATTTGCATTTACTGAAGTATCAAGTTTTTGCATTTACACCATAACAAAAAATGATTTTGTCGCTTACTCTTGGAATTTTATATGCACCTTTCTTGTAAAATTCTTTTAAACTAGATTAAAATCTTTTTAATATGTGTGTGTCATTTTTCAGCTGTTTTTGTTTTACATGAAGAGCAATTTTTTCAAAATATTGTTATAATGCTTGTAAACTGCTATGGCATTGTTGCTTTAATTTAATACTTAGTTACTCGTTTAAGCACAGTAATTTAAAGTATAATACTGAAAATGTTTAACAACTTCATTTTGAAACATTTTAGAACGTAAATGGTGGTGTTATAAAATAGGTATTTTTACCTTGCTTTTATCCAAAATTTTAAAAATTGTATAACCAAAATTGCATCAAAAATAATTTTTTTATGCTACCACACATCAAATATTTGTTCTTCAATTATTAGGTGCTTTTAAAAATAAGTTATCAAAGAGGATACTTTAAATAAAAAAATATGCAAGTATTTCCACAGAGAAAAAAATTCCGATACGATACTGAAGGATAATCATATAGTGAATAAAAAAACATAATTCATAAAACATAAAAAATATATATATACATAAAATATTTCGGCCATTCAGTAGGTAATTTTTTCGTTCATATAGTAACGGTTTACCGGAAATTCGGGTTTTCAAAATTATAGTTCTTATTACCATTCATTTAGTAACAAAATGCAAAACTAAAATGTACATTTAATCGAAAGAGTGGTTTTTGTGCCGCGTTTTAAGGTATCACGTTAATTTTACCAAATTTTATCACGCATACCAAATTTTATCGTAAAATCATATTTTAGAATAGATTTTACCAAACATCTTTTCCAAAACTCTTTGGTAAAAATTACCGAGCTTTTTTGTGTTCCCATAGAGCCAGAAACACGGAATATTTATTAGAAAAACTTTTAAGAAAATGGGAGTATTGAATTTAGTGAGTAATATTCAGGCAATGTACCGAGGTTCAGGTTTTGAGATTTGACAACTACCTACAATAGTAAAGAAAGTTGAATTATTTAAAGAATTTGAATTATTTAAAGAATTATTTTTTTAGCATGAGAAAAATAAAAGGAAACACACTTAATTTTCATTCCAATTGTTGTTGTTTTTCAAATTTCGTTACAACTTATACTATTGTATCTGAATCAATAATAAGTACTTGATATAGTGAATCGCACAATTTATCTTTTATTTTCTTCATAAATTTTTTCATATCAGAAAAATATTCTCCCACTTAGAACGACATTTTAGAGCCTCACTCTAAAAATTTACAATCTACATTATTTATTACAAATATTTACGAAGAAACCTTTCAGATTAAAGTCCACATTTATTTTCATAACTGCCAAACGGCTGTCGCTGTAATTTTAAAAGTGGTGTCTATGCATAGTATAGTTTCTACGCTTTACAAGATGAAATTGCTTAAAGCTCACCCTGGTGGAAATCTGCTGAGATGGCATTCGTGTCTCAAAAATTACATGCGTCTCAAAATATTGAATATTGTCTCAAGAAGAAGATAGAGAAGAAAGAATTGATTTCAAATCTGAAGAGAAACAGTAATTTAGTACAAAAAGAGCTTGAAATTCAGAACGCTTAAAATACATAATTGTATATTTGTGATTTCCTTCGTGATCACATGGCGAAGTAATCTTAGAAAGAAGGACAAAACAAGTAATTTTTTCTAGACACTTATTTTCGTCACGTTTTGTGGATTGGGCATAGATATCTTTCGTCTTATTTTCATTCCGCATGTCGTTTTGAAGCGTAAGCTTACCTTAAGCTTCGAAATAAAAGGCATCGAATGATAACCATCACACTGTAATCAAAATCCCTGAAAATTTACGGTTTTAAACTGGCAGCTGGGTTGGTTGTTCCAACCCGTAAAATTTACGGTGTAAATCCGTAACATCAATTATTTTTTACCATACAAGAACAAGCTTTTTCCGAAAAAAATATTAAGAAAATCCATAGCAATTTTTTACCGTAACAAAACAAATTCTTTCAACAAAAAAAATTACAAATAAAATAAATCTATTGTCTCACTACACTTTTACCATGTAAAAACAAGTTTTTTCTATGAAAGTTACGAAGTAAATCTGTACTCGCAGCAGTTCTGAATATTTCCCTTCAACCGAATTTGTATCCGCCAGTCATCTCTAGGATTCGAACCTGGGTCTCTTCAATGGAGAGCACAAGCTCTGTCCCCAGAGCTACTGCGGATGAAGTGTGTTAATATGAAGAAATAGTGATAGTGAGAATTTCTTTTAATACAAACCATTAAGTAATTGCTAAAAATTTAAAGCAAGCATACAAAATAATCGGAAAATGATTTAAAAAAGGTAAAGTTATATTACGGAACGTAATACTGCATGGGAAAAACTGAAATTTTATTTGAGGATTTTAATCCGCTAGTAATTAGGGTGAAAAACGGAGAAAATAGTCTTGTCTTCAAAACGGCTTTAAATCGTAAAATATACGAAGAATTTCAAAAAAAGAAAACACGTATTTCTTCAGCTCGGTTCTTGTGTTCTTACTGTAAGATCACTTTGCCACGTCCCAATGTAGATAATTGTAAATAAACAAATTCATGTTTTATACTTTCTTTCTTATATTACGCCTACAAAAGGTTTTGCTTTTTGATAATAAATCGCTGGACCTCTACAACTTCGTAGATTACTGAACTCCCTTTATTTTGTTCTATTTTTGAGATAGAAACACTGACTCTGCAGTTTCCATCAGTGTGTCCCGTAAAGGATCTTTTCCTGTAGCGTATATCCACTTTACTATACTTAGGCACCATTTTTATTACGATATTCACAGCTAAAATAGTAGATGCGGATTATAGTGAGCATCCTGGACTAATTCAATTGTAAACAATTAAATATAAGTATTATGCATCATTAAACATGCAAGTAAAGGATAAACTTTCAAATAAATAATTTGAATTAGAATGCTGCATATTTTAAAAATAATATGATTCTATACCTCATTAAGTAACAAGTTACATAAGATTTCTCCTTTAGAAACATGAAATTCTATTTTCTGAAAGTATCGTTCTTAAAGTTTTAAATTTAGTGAGTGCTTTCAAGTATTCTATTCGTAAAATATTCGTCTCGTAGAATAATATTGGGATAATGATATACCCTGAAGAGACATTCTAAGAACCATTAGACAGTTACTTCAATAATTGACTGAAAGAAAGTTATATAATCGAGTGCTATATGAAGCTGACTAATGATTTGAAATAGCGTGTCATTGACTTTAAGACATCCAAGCACTTGATTTTATGTCTTAAGGATAGAATGACACCGAAATGAAAATTTAGTGCAGTACTTCGACTATATTTTAAGGGTAGAATTATATTTAGCAACAAATTTATAATCCATATTGCTTATATTTGTTTTTTTTGTCAATTTGATATTTATTCCTGATATGTTTCTGAACTTTATTCAATTCTGTTCTGAATTTTTCCTTCTTTTGTTTCTTTGGTGCATCCATTTTTTGAAAGTTTATTTTAAAATATAAAGAAAAATAATGACAATTTAAAATAATAATAAAACCATACTTTTATTTACATCAAGCTAGTGCGAAAATAGTTTCTTCAAGCCCCGACACCATTTCTGATGATTCTTTCGCAAAATGGATCTCCTAAATCTTAATAGATCCCACCTCATTTTTTTACTATCATCCATTGGATTTTGAGAGCACCCCTTGCCTATGTTTATTCCTTTTTGATAACTTTATGGTCATGAATTTTATTTGGAGGCAGATAGTTATTTTGACACTATTTCTGTTTTAGTATGCTTCTTATTGTGATTTATTCTTGTTAAAGCATGAGAAATCCACTAAACTAACATTTATTAGTGCCCTCTAATGCATCTTATCGTCATTCTAAATTTGTTGCTATTATCCAGCATGTATCGCTAATCTAGAATTATAGCTCTTAGCTACTAATATCATTCATTTACTCTAGTTCGAAAGCATTATTTTTCATTTTCCCCCTGGAAAAATAACAATGTTCAGAACAGTTTTGCTCCATCATTTTTTCTATTTTATTTATTGTCCGTTCTAAGTCCCGCTGTGGACTGATC